GCAAAACCTAAAAAATCCTGCTATATTACTATTGACACCTTTTCTGGCCGCTACCATACTACTTATTTGTACTGCACTACCCACGTTGCTATGCAAATACAGTAAATGTCAATATCTCGTGTGCTTCATTCTATCGTCCAAGCTACCCTTTGAATCAATGAGTGCCGAAAGTTTGCCCAATCGAACCTAGGCTTTTTTTTTTTTCGAGAAGGACGTTTCCAATAGTTCGGGAGGTCCTTTCACTGACCCCAAAAATCTTTGAGGGACTTACTAAATAAGTATATTTTCCTCATCAATTTGTTATCCTTCTCATGTACTCAAAACCGGCCGATTCATCCTTTTTCTTTTCTAGGCTCAATATGTACTCACAGCGTTGGTATTCCAGATAATCCCAAGTTGGGGGAATAGAACCTACCCTAATCGGAAAACCTGAGGAACTCAAAATCCTGCGCAGGGGACTAGTTTGTTTATAGAAGCTGGAATGGAAAGTCCCAGGTGATGAAGCCTATTCGGACTTATCTTACATATAAGGAAAATGTATAAAGTACGCCGCTATTTATGACACATTAATTATACTATTTAGCTAGCTATTTTTAATAGCTATTTTAATGCTTATTTCTATTCGTATAACTATAAAGGAAATCTTTAGGTGTAGTAGTGCTCAGTAGTTTCCAAATCCAACAATAGTTTGAGGTTTCAGAAGTTTTTCTCCCTTAATTCTTGAAAGACAAAGGGATTCTATTGGAAGTTCAGAGTTCGAGCATACAACTAGATGCAAACTAAAAACTGTACTAATTTTTCCTATTTTTGTACTAAAAAAGTAGTTTATATTGTACCCATGCTAAATCTATAGAAATCACAGTGGGTGGAGTAATAAATATGTCTGGAAGGAATATTAGATTTACTTACTATCATCCTAGATTTCGTCATGAAATCGAGTTTCCCATAGTACTAAATTTTTTGAGTGACGTGCGTGCAAAGCTATTTACATTTCTTTCTAAGGCTCAGCATGAGTCTCGGAAAAAAATCTTTGAAAAATGTCCTCATTAAGCCGTTCGAAAGCCGAGAGGGTCAGAATTCCTGTTTTTTCGCCACAATCCTCTGTAACAAAGCGGCTAGTTCTACTTCAATGGAATACTAGCTGCTGGCACTTTACGAGTACGAATAAGCTGCTGACTACTCGTTGAAGCTAATCGCGTATCAAATTGCTATTAGCGAAATTGAACACTAATTATTGGTTTTATGCCCGACACTGCCATTATAGAACGTCTGTCCCCCCTACGATTCCTGCAAGCTTCTCGAAAAGTGTCGTAACGTGTCTGAAGAACGAGTCTTCGAATTATGTTGCTGCGATGATTTCGTCTGCACCCATCCTCTGCCCCGGGGATACGGTAGCCAAAAGTGGGCGGTGCGCATCGTCACGAGGCCAATTCTCAAACGAAGTGCATCCGATAACAACCGCACACTCATGAGTGAACTGTTGTTCTCAACAATTTGTCTTGTCTTTCATTTTGGACTTTTTTGATGGTTCCGTCTAAGGCTGCCCTCAACAGCTTTGGTTCTGCGAGCTGGTGAAAAATGCCATTGGAATTACGCCAAAATTCGGACTAGAACCAATTGATGGTGACGAAAGGGTTTGGTGGATAATAGTCAACTAATCGCACAAAAATGATTCATGCAGGAGCTGTTTCTAGCTGGTCATTGGTTCTTTCTTTTGGACAAGGAAGCTTCAGTAGCACCTTTCGTTATGATTGTTATTGTTTACATTCCACTCTATAGCTGAGTCGGAGTTGTATGTCCCACATAGGATTTTGTCCGCTTGGTCGCTTCGCTTAATGGAAATGCCAAGGTGCCACATCGCTGACGCACGTGGAGCGTGAAGGGAAGGAATCATGAGGAAAAATAAGTGCTCTCTAAAAACGATACTTTTGGACAAGGTCATCGTGTTGTGCAAATTTCGGGCTAGCACGACCCCACTTCTGAGCGCCCGTTGAACTTGAGGGGCAAGGGACATGAATAAACGGCTGAAACTGTGGAAACTACGAGTCTTCCAAAGAATTTTCAATAAGTTTACCCATTTTTCAAAGAATTCTTTATCCCTTAAAATGCTCTGCCTATTCCACCGAATAGGACTCTTTTCAAAAATTAGAACTACGACCCTTCCCCGTTCAACTTTGCTCGGCGGTCGATTCCGAATCCTGCCTCCCAGTAGATCTCTCATCCGACAAGTAGGGGTGAGAATTCTGTCCTACCGTCAGCCTAACCCCTTATCCCTGGCAATGCTGAGAAGATAGCTTTTTTTGAAAAAAAGCGCTAAAAATAGACGGAGTTTCAAGCCGTTCTACTCGTCTCCATAGAAGTCGTCTTTTCGGACATTTTGTCACGAGTCTATCTGGCCATAGGAGATGATTGATTGACTGAAGTGTTTCCGTCCGTCCCTCCGTAAGTAGCTATCGTCTGTCTAACGAAAGGACGAGCTACAAAGTGCGCTCACTGCTCAAAAGTCCTATCCTCACTGTCTCGTTTCAAGCTGTGCCTGCGGCAAGCGGACGCCGGCTCAGTTTTCATAGCAGTTCAGAGCGACATTGTTATTCTATGAGCCAGATGTTGTCATAAAGGCTAACAGGAATATGACCGATCGTAGTGAAACCCTGGGCTGAGCGGATGGAATTGCTCTGGTTGATGAACGATCGCTACAGCTACGCAAACAAAAGAGCGTCCCAAAATGGCGTTCGGAGTCGGCATCTGGTTAAAAAATTCAGAAAAAAATGATATAAGCTTCCCTCCTCACGCCGAGAAGTGCATCTTCTCGAAGATCTCCGTCCTTAAACTTTTTGTGTTTATCGGAAATTTTGTTTTCCTGGATCTTCTATGAAAGAAGCTGTTTTCGTCAACATTCTAAACCTGCTGTGAATTCGTTAAATTGGATTCATTACCGAGAACTTTTGACGTAATGAAGTTTGGCTCAATGGAACGTTTTCCACGTAAGAGGAAAACACTTACCCATAAATGGAAAACACTTATGCAAAATAATTTGAATTCAATTTCGTGATCTTTCCTTCTTTGTAGTTCAGCTTGTCTGCGAAGTGTTGGCAGGAATTAGTTCCTTTGTGACGTGCAATGAAACACGTAGCCTTCCTGTTGCATTCTTAAACGTGCTTAATTGCCGGCTTGGAAGTCGATGCAAAGGCGATAGAATCACTAAGAACGTGGACTTAGGCCCGGGTTCTGCTCGTAAACAACTGCCGAAGGCTAGCTGCCATGTTATTCCCTTGCTTAACAGCTGAGTGAATTAAGCAGGACACCTCTAATTGTATTAGTACAAAGAAATCAAACCGGGAGCATTGACAGGCAACCCATGGTTGACCTTGGAGTTTATGTCCTTTCCTTCTATCCAGTTCCCGACACCTTCATTCCCTCGAGCTAAGTTTGCATGGCGCTGAGATTGATCTGATAAAAAGGAGCCTATTTGGGGGCTTTGTTGACACCTTTGACAGACAGCAGAAGACAGCTCTATGGGGAGAAGTTTCCACTGGGTTTCTTCTTCTCCTCCTGTTAGGGCCGAAATGCAGCTAGCCCATTTGCGAACTCCATGCTATTGGTCGTTGGTTCGAAGCCCTATTAGTGATTTGAAAGATCGACTAGGGTCACGCCACATGTTCTGTGAAATGCCAGACTCCACCGGGACCTCAGACAGTCCATCTTGTGCTCAAATATAAGGGCTATTCTGTTACCCTTGATTTCGTTCCTGGAATTTCTAGCGTAAGAGATGGACTGGAGAGACTGGATGGTTTGGCTGGGCGCGTCTTTACTGGAGGGACCGAGCGCTATCTGACGGTCTTCTACACCAGCAGTAAAATCAAGTAATTTCTGGTCGAGGTTGACAGATCTGTGAGGTTGTGAACTCACTGGAGACCCGTGATATCGAGAGGGGGCGGAGCCACGCGTTCAAATTGCCAAGCGGCGACCGCCTCCGAGGCACCCATCAAGAAAGACGATGTCGTGGCCGTCTAATCTCCTCCTCACCGGCCACCAACGCTGTTCCTTTCTCGTAGAAGAAGTTCAATTAATGCCTTGCATTGCCCCACTAGACCATATTCAGTGAGTTTAGTTCCACCTGTGGTCGCCGATGACGGCCTGAACTACGGCCTGCCTCACCGCCGCACATTTCTATTTGCCTATTCTTCGATGGGATCTCGTTACGCTTCACTCGTCACCTTCAGTCAATATTGATTGTTCTTTCGAAAAGTGGGAAAAACTTTTCCTCGAATACTGCATTAATACTTTAGTGGGTCCCCATTCGAATACCGTGAACGGGAATGCTCTTACCAACGACCCATTTCTAATTAGCAGGGGGCCATTTCGGACTGCAGAGCTGAGCTCTTTTGCTCTTCCTCATTCCGCTGCGATCTTTAGACGGAAACTTCATTAGCGAAGAAGAGCAGTTCTTAATGTCGCAATAGAGCCTTGAGCGTCTCATGGGTAACAAAATCTACCCCAGTAGCTCAAAATCATTTTGGGCGAAAAGTTACGATGTTTTCATGGTTCGAAAGCTAACGGTGGTTGAGTTTTGGTCTTCTCAATGAACCTGATTTTATCCCTTTAGTCGAGGAATCAATTATCATCAGCTCGATGCCGTGATATTTATGAGGCTTATAACAAATCCATACAGCTGTGGGCTCTTGGTGAAAGCAGTACTTCTAGATTGCCCCGGCTGGCAATTTGCACGAGTAACTTGAAATTGCTCGGGACGAGGACTCCTTTACTGAACTCTTACGAAGCTGTTCCTTTTCCTAACATATCCTACCTTACTGGAACTGAAAGCTTGTCTTCACTAGATTCCCTTCATGTTTCCCTTAAGAAATAGATTTCTCCATGCATCCGAAGTTTCCGACGTTTCTCTTCGCGAGATCTCGTACCGTAATTATCGATCATTATCGATTTCCTAACAATTCTCCAGAACTGTCACAAAAAACTTCATCAATAGCGAACCGAAACCTATGAGCATGGTCAACGACTATTTGATGTTCCGTCTCCTTATGGAGGAAGACGAATCGCGTAAGAGTCAACGTCGTCAGTCAGTTCAACCCCATCTACTGCAGCAACATCGCGGTTCAATGCTTGTACCGCGAACGTCTATTTCCGACGGTAAGCCACCAGCTGTTCTTGTGGACACGGCGCGCTCAAGGAAGCGTTGCCCTTGAAAGCATGGAAATCAATTTTGCCTAATCCTTAAGTACGAATAGCCAGCCTCACTAAAGCCTTTGCCCTCATCAAGAGCTGAAGAGGGATCTTCATGAATCATTACCGCATCTATACGGCGCCGCAGTAAACACTGGCGCAGCCCTTCAAGAAATCTCTCAATGTGCACGGATAAGCTTAGCCGAGCTCTGAAACCACCCTACCACAAACACAAAGAAATATTGGACATTCAGGGATTTTTATTAAAATCATAGTTTTGAAATATTAAAAATATGGAAGCTATCGCGAGATACGGGGGCATGTAGTGGCAATACTCTCGATCGTATAACTTCTGCCTCGCTTGTTGGAGGGAGACATGAAATGCAAAAGAGAGTACTTCCAATTGTGTGAAAAGTCTGTAATTTCTTTGAAGCTCCTGTCCCTCCTGGTCCCAGTCTGGAAGATGCCCCTGTAACTTGCGATAGCGTCGAAATGTGTAAGTGTGAATTCTGCTGTGCGAATCTGGAAGAAGCTCAGTTGAGTAAAAAATTAAGAACTATGAATGTACCTCAAGTGAAATATATCCAGCAAATTATGCAATGGTTAATGAGATTTCTACCACGGACTTAAATCAAAAAAATCGATAATTGATTTTCAGAGCCGTTCTGCTCACCGATCGTGCCACATATACCGATTCGACAACGACTAGCCACTAGGCGATGCACAAGCGGTGAGGCGTTAACAACATTTTTGAACATTTTCGATTTCAAAATTCAATTTTGATGCAAACGAAATTCAAATAGCCTTTTTATGGTCTGGTACTGAGGAAAATTATAGGGAAATTGGGTGCATGTAGTCATGTAGTGCAAGCAATTTCAAATGTAAATGTGTGCCAATGGAGATGGGTCGACCAAACTTTAGCAGGTCAGAGACTTCGGGGAAAGGGATACCGACTTAGTGTCAAGGGTATATGGACGCGGAAGTGTCTCGAGGGTAGCTGGAAAACGTGCAGAGGTGGTGTGCCTGCTTAAGCCGACTTAGAGAAAGGAGCACTTGTTTCCGCTTTTGCAAGGAAAACGAGTGGCTCATATCGGGCGTTTGAATAGGATAAAGGTCTATGTGAAAAGTAGAAAGTATTTTGAAAGGGCAGCTCATCCATGCGGCGCTTCTTGATGGTTTCCCAGAATTGCCGCTACGTTACGCGCCATTCAACGGTAGGGGAGTCCTCCATAGCAAAGTAGGACGATGCTGAAAACAGGGCGTTGAAAAGCTGTTCTGCTTATCGTGATAACGGCCATCTCTACGATTGGTCGAACCTATGGACAGTCGTCGTCTTCCTTGCGAAGTTGAAGACTCGAGAATTCACGACATGACATCCTTTGTTGGATGCGCCTTGCATTCAACATCCACTCAGAATCGCAGCAGTTTTCAAGTGCTTGATCTGACCTCTGCAATGACTCTATGGGAAGTAAAAATGTATAGTTCTGTGCGCTTTCTGTGTGGGGCGCGCTTCATAGCCGATCTTTTCAAGAATGGAAGGCTTGTTTGCTCCGAGTCTGAGACTCGATCCATGATTTGATCCTGGGCTGCAATAATGGCATTGCCTTCCAAACTCACATCCAAAGCTTTAGGTTTTTCTTCATGTGGATCCCATTCAATACGCCTTCCTTAACGAGCTTAAGTGGGGCAGTAAAAGAGCCAAATGTCTTCGCGCTACCTGTGGGATCAAATTCCGCCTGAGCAACGATGCCATAAATCCATTACCAACTAGGCAGTAAACTTGTATGGCGCTACAAAAAAGACTGGCTTCGTAAGGGATTTGCCCCACGAGTCATTACGCGGGCCAAACTTCGCTTAGTCTTTCACAATATTGGCGAACGCCAAGTCTAGCACTGGAACCTCGCACCTGCTCCCGTAGCTTGCTGAATTAGCCAACGAAACCGCTTCGAAGGGACCATTCTCAAAGTTTTTTTCGGGGGGGGGGGGGGGGGGGGGAGGGGGGGGACTTCCGAAGCAAACTTCAAAGAGTTTTTAAAACCTTCTGCAAGCTGCTGAGCGACCGCTCGTAGAATAACATGTGTGTAGGGCAATCCACCATTTCCCTGTTTACCAGCTCATATTCGCTTTTGTCTGGAGCTTCGTCGTCGAGGTCTACTCCGACGCCAACTAAGCCATGTTTTCTTGTTTATCCTGAGGTCGACTGACTTTAGCGTAAGCGCTTCGTCGAGGATGTTGTTGACGCGGGACTCGTGCAGCACTTCTGGCAGTCAGCCATTTTCATATGCTTTGAAGAAGGCAACGGAAAAATTAATGTGAACTGGCTTACTGTAAGGAAAACGACAATGAATATTAGACACGCTTCTGATGGAAAAATTAATCCAAAATGCTTTAAATTGCTTTGCACATGCTTAATGGGGGTTTGAAACGAACAGTGACAAATTCTACGGCTGGGGAGGAGAAATTGCCGCCTCTCAGGCAGCCCCATGCAATTGTTTGATCTTTCCCACTTCCTGTGAGTGGAATCGGATCATGGCTGAATGATAGGGTTATTTTAGAGGAACTGGCCCGTCAGAGGTTGATCTAGGACCCCTGGCAATCACACCTTTGCGGCGCCTCTCACCACTGCACACCAGTCACAGATCGTGGAATTTATAAATGCCCGAGGGTTCTAATTGGGCTTTAGATTAGTAATCCTTTCTCGACATAGTGTCCTGATAGATCTTCGTTGAGAATGGGGCTTATTTGAGATTGAAAAACCTGCTTCATAGCCAGCAAAACTCTTTGATGGCATCATACATCATGCCTTAAGCACTTTGGAATCAAAAAAATGAATTTTCGATATTAATTGGTAAGCCCATAGAAGTCGACAGAGCTGAGTGTAACGGTGCAGCGTTCTCTGCAAGAGACAGCTTAAGCAGTTAATGCAAGCTCTAAAAAAGATGAAAAAAGGCTGGATTGTCGCGGTTTTTTCAACAACGTCTAGTGGGGCACTGTAGTTCTCAGGACTCTCGTTTTTATGCGCCCTGGCACCTAAAAGTGCGCATAACTTGGTAGCTAGCAAATCCAGTAAAAAGAAGCTGTAGGTTCGAATTCCGCCTGTGAAAAAGGTTGTGCCCATATTCGGCATTTTTGTGGGTGTTTGCTGTCAGGTAACAGAAGTCCAATCCTTTCAGTGGACGTTGGAGATGAACCACCAATGGGCATTCCGTACGCCACGTCGATCTACGGCGGTCAGCGAAGACGACGTATGAGCCTGCTGCAGACATTGCGACAACAAAATCGTCAACTAAACGACAGTGGCCTGGAGATTCACCGTCCACGGACCGACAGTGAAAGCACAAATCGAGGTGAGACCAAATTGCATGTTCTACTCTAACTAATAAGACGAAGTGCAGCGAGGCATTGGAATAATTGGGCTGTTTATGGCAAAGTAAACTGGCGACCAAGGGGAAACAATTTTCTGATCAGAATATTCTAGAAGAGTTGAGCTTTTCGCTTGCGATTTAGATCTGGTTATTGTAGTAGCAAAATGGGAGCAAATAATGATTTGAATGGCTGTTGTGACCATCTCAAAAGGCCCTCTAGCCATTGAAGCACCTTCTGAATCCTGAAAGGAGCTCCAATTATGCTTCGCTGACATGACGCATCACTAAAATCGAATCTACACAAAAAAATTTGAAATAGATATTTTCTCGTTACAAGATTGAGCCTGGCATTGGCTTTACTTGTGTGGCATTTTCAAATTACGTCACTATTACGCGTAGCGCTTATCATTCTAGATGCTGATAAAATAACGAGAAAGGACATTTAGTTTCAAATAACAAATCACGTACATTCAAAGTAGTGGAGGATTCCTCTTGGTGATGTTGGTTTTCTCCTTATGTGGGGAATTAGCATTTAAAATCTTTTTGGCGGCTTCAGAGTTTTCTGCAGTGGAGTCGCTTATCTAATCGAAACGTCAAAAGGCTTTTTAGATGAAGGTAACAGAGATTACTCAATGATTTTATAGAGAGGCAAGAGCGGATACTTGTTAGGTTCGGCGTATCGAAGATAGAGGGCTTTATGCGGCGATTGCTTTAGAACTGTAAGAGATCTCTGTTTTGTGTTGTAATCGGGACTGAGCTTCAGGTCGCGCAGAAGAGGCCAGGGTAGTGGAGGCAATTCTATTTTCTGCCGGTTTTTCAAATGTGCACCTATTAGGCCTCTTCTTAGGGTATGCCCCGGTAACTTGTGGGCGAAAGCGCTCGTCGATTCAGTGACCAGGGAGTGGAAAGTTCGATGATGGACGTGCTGGCTGGAGTTAAGCTACATAGGTAGGAAGCACTCGCTTCCACAATTGGGCTAGTTTCATCAAAGCAATAGGTGTTTTTTACTTTAATGGCAAAGTGAGCGGTCAAGACTGATCTCAAGAAGAGTAATGGACTCGAAGGCTGAGAAAAGTCTGGAAAGGCGCTTGAAAGCGAATCCTCCAATAGCCACGTTGACGGATTTTGAGGCTGCCCTTGAGCTTCCTGTCCGTCATGACTGGACAAGTGTTCAACATTCGCGCCTTCAAATTTGGCTTCAAGCTCTAGCTTCAAATATAGAAACATGAAACGTCTCGCCATGAAATTCTGACGCATGAATAACATTCGGATTTGTGGAGGGACCTGCACCAGTCGACTGATTTACGAGAAACGTTCTCAACTAAATCTCTCCTTTACCACGCAATTCAAATAGCACATTCACCCCTCCCGCACGAAGGAATTCTTCGATGCAATTGCCGGTCGCTACTTTCGTTATCCGAAGCCTCATCACAGCAATGGAGGGATTCTATAAATGCAATCGAGAACTCCTCAATTGTTTGCTACTTATAGTACTTATTTCTAGTTAAAGGATAGTTGTGGATCTCCATATTTGGTTTACGGAGGCCGTTGGCGGCATGATGATGCAGAGTCAATTTCATATCTTCGGACATGGCAATGTTCTTTTGAAGTGAGATAACAAGTTCTAAGAAAACATCGTTTTTCGCCGCAATTCGCTCCCTTCATATAAAGGTGGACGCGTCTTTCTGGTCTTAGCGAGCGGAAACGAAAGCGCAATACCGTAGTAACATTATTCGAGCCGATGTTTTAACTCGCTCTCCACATCACCTTTTTTTATGACATTAAGGCATGTGAAATAAAGCGGGTCTTTCTGGAACTAGGTAAATCCAGTAGTTCGTCATCGACGTCTTCTCGCACAGAGTCACACATGAGGTCTTTCAGACAGAGGGGTTCTTCTTCAAAAAACTTTGATGGGCAAATAGTGAAGCAGTTATAAACCCTTCATCTTGGGATCACCTTGGGCGCATGTCAAGAAGACAAATGTTTCCTAATAGACCAGATTGTCGGACTGAGAAGCTGGAGGAGATGCTCCTCTTTTTGACATCAGGCTGAATACGCTTCACTTTTTTCACCGATTTCTCTATTTCAGATACAAGTTCGCCGCCGAACAGATCATCACCGCCTCCTCCATCGCCTTCGAAGAAGGGATTCGCCGGTCTGAAATCAAAGTATGTAATCCCTCCTTAGTTGTCCGGTCCAGGACCTTAGTTGTCCGGTCCAGGATCTGTTCACTGAAAACTGGTAATTGGTAGAAATGTACTACTCATCTCAGTTCAAGACATCCTAGAATGCGCTCTTGCGAAAAGTATGAGGCGCCAGTCACCTCCTAGAATGCGCCACGTATTCCCTTTGCCAGTCGGAATCGTAATGGCGTTTCGATGCGTTCGATGCTGCCCACTTGTTTTTTTGCACTTCTCCAAGCAGCACTGCGGTAGGTGGTACAAAGTTTTGAGCAGGGCTAGCGTCACATTTATCCTGCGCCGTACAACCTGTTTTCCTTTAGCCAAGTGCCCATTGGCCAAGAGGGTCTTTCAGAGGAACTGCAAGATTAAGGTTCGCAGATTAACCGGTAATAATAGTTATCTATAGACGTCTTTTGTTCCTGAATGTAGGACAGGCGAGCTAATCTCCTACCTTTTCCCAGACAGCAGCCTACATTTTGCTCTTAATGGCTGCTGTTGAACATTAGTCGCTTGGCTACAATGCTGTCCCTCAAAACGCTTTACCTTTGAGCTCCCAGACGCTTCGAAAGAATTAAGGGCTGTTCAGGGACTACCCTGCTCCTGGCCCCTAGAAGAGCTCGCAATTTGAGACGGGTTCCTTCGAAAAGGTTTCGTTCCCAATTTCTCGATGGCCTCTTGTTTTTTCCGGGCTCGTGAATGACTTCCGGAGTAGCGCGTCGTTCTCATCCCATTCCCTATTCTCTTCAGTCAGCGGCGGCCATTACTCTTGGGAGAGGCGGCTGTCCGGCTAACAAACAGACCAGGAACTTTAGATTTTTCATTGTCCCCGTCCACAATGGCTTCTAGTAATCTTTGAGCAATTTGCATAATTACCGAGGTTTTCCGGCGGTCTCGAGTACTACTGCAGTAAAGAGTCATGTTAAATTTGCTTCAGCGCCCAACTGGGACTACACTTGTTGCTCGAGAAATTAATGCTCTCTTCAAAGAATCCCGGAGATGAATGAAATACGCGGAACAAGTTTAATAGCTCCCTTGGGTAAATTAGATGGAGTAATTCTGCGAAAGGGTTTGTTGCAATTTCTTCGAATGAAAGGATTTCAAAAAGTACAAGCAACTTAGAAAAACTCGTAGCTATTTTGAGGGATCCTTTACGCACTCCCCTAAACAGAAGACTACTGCAGTGAGAGTCGTGTTCCTAATTTGTCACGATCATGAACGTGGCAGAAAAACAGCACTTCTTCATGGCCTTTGATGAATTTTATGGAATAATTCACCAGTGTTCATGACTTCGGAGAGGG